GTTTTGTTTTTAAATTTTGGGACTCTTACTGTTAAAGAATGAGTGAGTTTTGTTCACTTCTACCCAGTTAAGTTGTATGTCAAGCTCTTATGAGCACCCTCTATGCTGTTGCTGGAAATGCAGCCAGAGATGATCCCACCAGTCCGAACTCCCTAGGAGCTACCCCCACACCACCTGCATTGCACAAGATATCACACAGGTGCCCTTGTTACCTCAGGAGACGGGTGAAAAAGTACCAACAGACAGAATGTTGTTTGCCAGACATTTCAAAATAAACTCAAGCTCATTTAAAAACTATTTCCCTCTAAGAAAGCTACTGAACAAACCTTTTTGCTGTTTCCACAGACTGTTGTTCTGCCAGTTCCTTCTGAAGTTCCCTTTCCTTGGCCTCTTTCTGCCCAATAGGGCAGTCTTCAGGCACAGTGAATAGTGACAAGGCATCCTTGCTGTCTTCTTCTCGGAGAACTTTAGCAAATACCTTCTCTGCTAGAAGTCGCACTTGCTCATCAACTTCAGATATGTTCAGCTTTGGGAACTGTCTGGGCATCTCAGCTAATAAGGAAAACATTTGACAAAGTTATATTTTTAAGTAACTTGTAAGTAGAAATAAGAAGTGCAAGAAACTTTTTTTTTTTTTTTTTTTTTTTTTTATAGCATTCCTATTGAAATTAAAAGCTTACAGCAAAAAATGATAGGGTCATCAGATGGCTTGGGTTGGAAGGGACCTTACAGTTGCAGCCCTCAGCTGCGGGCTGGCTGCCCCCCACCAGATAGGGCTGCCCAGGGCTGCATCCAACCCAGCCCTGAGCACCTCCAGGGATGGGGCAGCCACAGCTCTGAGCAGCTGCGCCAATGCCTCGCCATCTTCGCCACGGAATTTTTTTTCTTCTTCCTTAACCTAAACCTACCCTCTTTTAGTTTAGAACTCTTACTCCTTCTCCTGTCACTGCTCTCCCTGGTAGAGTCCCTCTTCATCTACCTCTGTAGAGCCACTGTAAGTACTGGAAGGCCACTACTAGATCTCCTGGGAGCCTTGTCTTCATAAGCAGAACAAAGTAGAATGGCTATGCAGAATTTAAACTACTGTGCAATATGCAGCAATTACAGGAATCCACTGAGTATTTTTTCTTGCATGGCCATGATAAACTATACATTCACAACTTCCGACTGTACTCACTGAAATGTTTTGTTGTGGCTGTTTGTTTTTTCCTTTCTAATATGTTTCTAAGGTATGCTTTCTAAGGTGCCAGTTCAGTTGGAAGTATAAAACTCCTGAAGGCAAGTCCAAGGAACATTCTGTGGTAACAATAAAACTAATGGTAGACCTATGTATGAGATTGAATGTGAAACAGTTCTTTGCTGACACGTAGAAGCTGTGAGTGTTAAAACTTAAGTCTTCTAGGCTGCTTTTAACTACCTCACAAAAGGCAAGGGTACAAGGTTTACTGCAAGCATTCATTCTTTAGCACATGGTGTTATCTTGCATCATAAAAATTCCTACAGATTTGCCAGTAGATTCCATTCACTTGCTTAATCAAAGAGACTTATTTGCAAGACAGTGCACACTGAGCTGTATGGATGTACTTGCAGTGAAATCTCATCTGCCGCTCCTCTGCTGCTCAGTGCCTTCAAAGCAATTGCAGCGCTACAGGCAAGTTAGCAAAGAATGCTGCACGTTTCTACCTCACCCCATTCTTTCCACAGAGAAGTCGTGGTGCTGCTGTTGGCTGTGCAACAGGAGTGAAAATGTTGCTGTTAACTCTAGTTTTCTTTGTTCATTTTGCTTCCAGTGACTCATACTCTGTTTTTGAGCTGCAGGCGGGAAGCAGAGAGGATACAGAGTTAAATTCCTCTTGGCATTTATGTAACAGACAGGTTTAGTCTTTTCATTTTTTACCTAGGTAGCCTTTTGTAACGAAGTATTTCCATTTTGTTAGACCAGAGCTACTGAAAATAACACCTTTAGGGTTTCTTCTATAGTTTCAATACCTTACTTGTATCTCATTCCAGTGCACTGAGCCAGTTCTGACATCTGCTAGTATTCTGGACAGGAAAAGATACACAGTTCTTGCAAGCCGCTGTCCAGCACTACAGTTACCGCGTTATACTAACTATAGTTACATGCTGTACAGCTTTCTGAATGCCTTCAGTGCGCTGGAGTTTGTAACAAAGAAGACTCAACTCTAATCACATAAGTTAAAAATAGCAAAGAAGATGTCACAACAAACAAATCCAAGCACTCCCAAAATGTGAAACTTGGGTTCAAAACTGGCACTGCAGAATCCTGTTTGGTCACAAGAATACAGACTTGTTTTATAAGATGGCATTCATTCCAATGACAAGATGCATGCTGAATACCCACAGGGGCATGGCAGTTGCTAACCACTCAAGGCACAACTCATCAGCAGGCCCACTGCAGTATTTCCAAAGGCATGCCACAAGTTTCATCTGTTGATATGCGATCCTTTTGACATGTGATACTGTTGTCTTCAGTCTAAAAGATTCTAGTTAATGTCCACCTGTTTTCACAGTTGCTTTGAAAACACTTTCCCTTTTATTTCAAAAGCAAACACAGTATTAAGAGGTGATGAGAGAAGTGCTGGACTGCAACACAACAATTTAGTGATCACCTACATTATTTTCCATTCCTTTTTTTTTTTTTGTTTGTTTGTTTGGTTTTTTTAAACAGTGGGAAAACTCCAGAATGAATGAACTGTGGATCTGACTCAATGCAGTCTTTTTTCTTGCTACGTATTTGGCAATTAGTATTCAGACTTCCTACATTAAGTAATGCTACATAACAAACAAAAACGCATACATGCTCAGCTGAACGATTCGATGACAATGCACCAGGATGTCTTGGAAGCATCCCAACTTAGATTCAGTTTCTCAATTTCAAACCTCAACGAAGTCATAGGAGTCTTTCCACTGACCTCAATGAGCACAATTGTCAGCAGCAGTGACTGACATCCAGCTGCCAGCAACGGGGACCTTTTGGGCCACTTCAACCAAAGTAAAACAAATATTTTCACAGAGTAATTCAACCACAGTACGCACATTAAGGATCTGAGTGAAGTCCGGAAAGTTTCTGCTGTGAAATCAGCAACTATCCTATTTTCAGTACTAGCTGGGAGAGGATAAACCCCATGCCTGAGGGTTTATCATGGACTGACCAACTATATCTCAGTATAAGTGAACTTTTTCTTGAAAAATCGTCATCAGAAACAAAAATGCAGTATTAAGTGCATTGCACAAGAAATCCTATCTCAAGTCACGACAGTAATATAAGCACAGTCTTCTGTGGAGGCCAGTGCTGGGTTTTTGTTGGGTTTGTGTTTTTCTTTCTTACAAAAGCCAGTCTCCCGTTCTTCACTCAAGCAAAGGAAAGTCCAGGGCACAGAGCGCTCGGGAAGGGTCAGCCACATCGCTGCAGGCTCATGGCATTGGAAGGGGTTTAACAGACCCAAAACGGTTGTGCGGCACCTCATGCAAACCGCACCATCCCAGCTGGAAACAAATTAGGGCTCCTACACCCAGCATCCCACCGCCTAAGGAGCGCCTTTTGCCGGGGAGAGCATCAGGGGGGGCGGCACCTCGCCGTGCCTGTGCCGCGGGATGGGTGCGGGTGGCACCGAGTGAGCGGCGGTGCGCTCGTGTCCTACAGCCCTCCCTCAGACAGGCAGCACGAGCTGCCGCTCAGCTCACCGCCTCTGCGAAAGAGGAAGCTATTTCCCCTGAAACGCGCTGCATCAAACACGATGAAACGGTTATTTAAAACAGCAATTACTGATCAGAAGCGTAACGGACACGAATGTCTAACAAACGCACGCCACCAGCACGGCGCCGAGCCCCGGCCTCCCGCCCGGCGGCACGGCACGGCACGGCACGGCACGGCACGGCACCGCCGGCGCAGCCGCCGCAGGAGCCCCCACGCGCCCAAGGTCACCGGCACGGCGCTCCGCCCCGCCGCGGCACTTACCCAGCTCCCCGGGGAACTCCATGCCGGGCCCGGCCCCGCCGCCGGCCGGGGAGGCTCGCTCAGGAGCCGGCGGCAGCGAGGAGCAGATGGAGGAGCCGCTCCCGTCCGACGCCGCCACCTCTCCCTTGTGCCGCATTCGGCCGCCCGCTACCGCAGTGCCACCTGCCCCCACCGCCCCGCCCCGGCCCTTTATGGTAGCCGCGCCCCCGGCCCCCCGCGGCACCCCGCCAGGGCGGCCCGCTGCCTCCTGGGCGGCGGCATCGCGGCGGGGCAGCTCCGCAGCAGGTGGGGCCGCGGGCGGAAGGAGCGCTGCGGGCCCGGCCTGAGGGAGCCGCCCTGAGCCGGGCCGGGTGCGGAGAGCCTGTAACGGTCGCCTCCGTGGGCGGGGCGGCGGCGCGCGTCTTGCTCGTACCTCAGCGAGGAACTCGCGCCCGGCGCGGCTCTGTCAGGAGCGGGGCGCGAAGGTGGCCGCCACCTCGGGCACCGTCCGGCGCCGCTCGTCCCGCGGCTGTACCTGAGGCGACCTCAGCGAAAGCGAAATTTCCGCGCCGCCGCTTCCCTCGTCAGGTTTCGAGGCAGAAGTCGCGCCGTCACATGGCTTCCCGCAGACGGGGGAGGGAGCTCCCGGGGCGGGCCGCCTCGGCTCCTTTCCTCCGCCGTGCCCCGTGCCGGCCGCCTCCAAAAGCGCTTTCACGTGGGAAAGTTTGGGTCGAGAGAAGGCGGCCCTCCCTCCATAAGTAGGTCTGCGTACACCCAAGACAAATAACTGAGGATCAGAACAAGCATGAGTCAGCAGGAACAAGGACTTCAGTGTGTGAAATAATTCGTTCCTGTTTTGTGGGATATGGAGTCCTAGAGCTGAGTGGTGTAGAGGTGTTTATGGGACGTTTGCCTTACAGCACATGGGCATTTAAATAAAGATGAGTCTTTCCAGCGCAGGGAAGCAGTGACAATGGAGGAACTGGGGAGCGAGATTCTCAGGGTGAGATGACAAGTGGGGGAAGGCAGGTGCCTCAACACACCTCAGGGGTCGGGCAGTTCCGGGGCTGCCTTGTGCTTTGTGCTCCCAGCCTGGCACACGAGGAAATGCTCTGTCTGTGAGCCTCAGGGTCTTGAGTAAAAGTTCCATTACCTCACGCAGCTGGGGGAAAAACGGAAGGAAACAGATGAGGGTGCAAACTTCAAGTTGCAAAGACCGGGCCTTCTGAGTCTTGCATCAGCATCAACAGGTGTCACCGTGATCACATCCGTCTGTCACAGGACTTGCAAAAGAAAAAAAAAAAAAGACAAAAGCTATGCCCATGTATGAAAAATGGCATGTATGAAAAACACCATGGAGATGTCAGTCCTGAGCATTTGAAAGCAAGTCAGCCATCCAAACTCATCCAAAATCATCCAAAATCAAGGATTAATCCTAAAATAATGATACTGAAAACTGTTGCCTCTTGAAAAAAGGCTAACACTGCCTGTGGATGTTTTTCCAATAGTAACTGGATGTCTTTATTAGCTGCTGCCAGGCTACAGCCAGACAAGCCATCTGCTGCCCAGGAAACTACATACTGTAAGTGTCTGTGCCTCTGACTCATAGTTGTCCTGCCCATGTGATATATGAGTAAAGGACACCTGTTGTTGGTCATTCTGTACGCCCCATGATTGCTGGTGCATTTGTCCTATTCCTTACATCTTGTTGCCCTCCTCCCTCTCCTAGCAAATTCCTAAGAATTTGCCCAAACTTAGCTGCTCCCCATCCCAGGAACCCTCTAATCATAATGGTGCCCTCCCTGCCTGCTGGACTTAGATATCTCATGGCTTCTTGGATTCCTCTTCTCAGCTTGGCAAATGGGTCCTGCCTGCACTCTTGATTTCATTTCTGTTCTAAGGGATATGAGAATTTTGATAATTTCCTCTTGTGCTATTGCTAGTTTTCTGTCAACCACAATGAAAGAACAGCAGAATCGAAGTTAAACAAGTTTCTACAGTTTTCATTCATGGAAATGGGCTGCTCAGTGTGTCCCATGGTAAGAAAATGCTGCAGTATGAGTTCATACTATGAGGACCAGAGACTTTACATTGAAAGGTTACCTTAACAATGACTTAGCAAACAGAACGATGTTCAGAACATATATTTGACTAGCAGGTCCGGCTGCTTTCTTTTCCTATCCCTGCTCTCATAGTGGACAATTCACACTTATCACTGGAAATTGAAATTAACACTAGGCTGACAACTGTGAAATAGTGTATTTTCAACAGTAGGAGCTGTTGTGCACTTCCATTAGCTCCTGCAGCACATAAAGCATTGGGCTTTGCATGTAGGCTCAGAACATCCAGCAATGTCATTTAGCACCTTATTAAGCACTTAGTATCTGACCCATAAGGGAGTCTGTCAGTCCCATTTGTGAGTGGATTACACTTCTATGCAACGCGTCAAAGTCTGCAGAGTAATTTTAAATGTTCTGATTCCTGATGTAGAATGTTAGGTTTTTCTGGAACCGCCTGGATTTTGGTTCACTTCTTTCAGGTACATTTCCCACAGGTAAGTTTTGCACTATGTATAAATACTTTTTTTTTTTACAATTTAAATCTTACCGCAGAAGAAGTTACCTCCTGCCTTTTACCACACAACTCAACTGATTATGCTTCTTTATATTATTCATTACATTTTGCATTCCATCGATCTGCTTTAAGCCCTGTTTTTAAGCCCTGCTTTAGAGATAATTCTGTTTGTAATGGAAAGTTGTGGTTATTCCAATGTCTGTGGTATTTAGACTGCTTTTTTACAGTCTGACGTTGTAACAAAAAGACATTCAGCAGAAATTTTAAAGATTTACTTGCATGTCAACCCCTACTGAGGAAACGATAAAAAGAAAGCACTGATTATGTATTTTTATTATTAATTTTTATTTTTAGAAAGAGGAAAATGTTGTCTGGGGGATGACTGCAGTTGGGGTGTGCGGTCATCAAAATTAGCAAATAGTCTCTCGTTCTCACTTGAAATTGTTTCATTTGTTGTAAACATACTGCTTTCATGTCAGTGCTTCATTAAAAGCTAATGGATTTTGAATTCTTTTTTTTTTTTTCCTAGTAGATTCATATTATTGACTCTAATATTCATAATAACAGAACAACCAATGGATCAAATTAAATATTTTATTCTGTAATGGGCCCAATTAGTGGCATCCAAGCCATACTACACATATTACTCAATCTTTTGATCTTTATTCAGTTAATTGTGTGCTTGACACACGTGCATTTACTTACAGAAGAGTAACAGATATTGCAGAACAAAAAAAAATACAGTTAAACGCAGTAATTTCCAAAAGCTGGAGAGGAATTTTGTGCCAAGTGTGAAATGTGAATTGCACTGTGTCAAATACTCTCCTTTAGAAGGGAAGAATGATTCAACATTTTAAACAGAACAATAAATGAATTTAGAGAATGGTTTGAGAGCAGCTCTGAGGAGAGGGATTTGGGGGTGTCAGGTGATGAGAGATTCAACATGAGCTGGCAGTGTGCGTTTGCCACCCTGAAGGCCATCTGTATCCTGGGTTGCATTGAGAGAAATGTGACCAGCAGGGAGAGGGGGGTGATTTTGGCCCTCTACACTGCTCTTGTGAGACCTCCACCTGAAGTACTGTTTTCAGTTCTGGGGCCCCCAACACAAGAAGGATATGGAGCTGTTGGAGCAGGTCTAGAGGAGGGCCACAAAGGTGATCAGAGGCTGAAGCACCTCTCCTATGGGGAGAGGCTGAAAGAGCTGGGGCTCTTCAGCCTGGAGAAGACTCCGAAGTACCTTATAGCTGCCTTCCATTTACCTGAAGGGGGCCTACAGGAAAGCTGGAGAGGGACTTTATATCATAGAATCATAGAATGGCCTGGGTTGAAAAGGACCACAATGATCATCTAGTTTCAACCCCCCTGCTATGTGCAGGGTCGCCAACCACCAGACCAGGCTGCCCAGAGTCACATCCAGCCTGGCCTTGAATGCCTCCAGGGATGGAGCATCCACAACCTCCTTGGGCAACATATTCCAGTACATCAGCACTCTGTGTGAAAAACTTCCTCCTAATATCTAACCTAAACCTCCCCTATCTCTGTTTAAAACCATTCCCCATTGTCCTATCACTATCCACCCTTCTAAACAGCTGTTCCCCCTCTTTCATATGCTTTAAACTGGAAGAGGGTAGATTTGGATTAAGTATTAGGAAGAAATTCTTTACTGTGAGAAATTTTTACTGTGACGCACTGGAACAGATCGCCCAGAGTGGTTGTGGATGTTTCTCCCTGGAGACGTTCAAGGCCGGGCTGGATGGGGCTGAGAGCAGCCTGGTCTACTGGGAGGTGTCCCTGCCTATAGCAGCGGCTTGGAACTAGATGATCTTTAAGGTCCCTTCCAACCCAAACCACTCTGTGGTTCTGTGATAACGGAAAAGAGTAATGACTCAAAAAAATGAGACAGTTACTCCAAAGAGCGATTGAAATAACACAGAGTAAATTGTGTCTTTGTGTTGTATAAAGTCAGGAAATCAAATAGCATCCAAAACTTGTAGAAATTCCTCAAACGTGAGTATTCAGCCCTGTACTTGAATTAGACCCAGTTAAGGACTCCCAACACAGAAAACTGAGTTAAATTAAAATGCAAAAATCTTAACATTTTCTTCCTATTCTAAATAGAAGAACATTTTCTATGTTTTGGAGAGTGCTGAATGCCATTGCAGCAAATAAGCTAAAAGGCATAAAGGAGGAGAAGCGTTTATTAGGCCCAGTTTTGATAAACCACATCTTGGATAGCTGTGTTGTTAGGATTATACACTTACAAGCTGCATCTGCACACACATAAAATGCAGAATGTTTTGAAAATTACTTCCACTGACAGACAGGTCCTGCTTCACCAACCTGGTCTCCTTCTGTGACCGAGTGACCCGCCTGGCAGATGAGGGGAAGGCTGTTGATGTAGTCTACCTGAACTTCAGCAAAGCCTTTCACACTGTCTCCACAGTATTGTCCTGGGGAAAGCGGCATGGACAGTTGCACTTGGACAGGCACACTCTTTACTGGGTAAAGAACTGACCGGAGGGCTGAGCCCAGATGGTGGTGGTGAATGGAGTTAAATCCTGCTGACGACTGGTCACAAGTAGT